AGGCAACTCAGTATAATACCGAATTGGAAGAGCCCTGCTACACATGACCTGATTCGTCGTGCTTTTCCTCAATTTAAAATAAAAACAAGACCTTGCTTAAATAGAGCAGAATCTAACGATACTCGTCCCTGGGAATAAGGTTGCTTGCGGATAACGCAGGTTTTAACCTCCAAGCATCGTCTCGGCTTAGCAAGCTGATTCGGATCACCCCCTCCCAGAGTGGTTGCTCGACTAGGCAGAAGTTGCTGTAGCGGGTGTTGCTGGATTAAACTCAGTATTATTACTACACGTAAAAAGAAGTAGTGGTTATCAGGTACTTTGAATTGACTGACAGTTAGTAAATTATCTTTTTACAGCGATATGCTGCAGCATGGCAGCTATGTTCAGCACCGGATGACTCCCTGGAGGATCTAGAGTGGGCCCCATTGATATGACAAGAAATCGGTTTGCTCTGTCTACTCTTTGCTAGAGCGTAATTGCGTAAATACGTTTTCGACCTGTTCCTAAGTAAACTATACGAGCCGCCCCCGTAAGATGCGTAAGATTCGCCATGCGCCGGGTTCCAATTTGTGGGTTTAGAGGCTCGGAAGATGCTACAGAGAGTTCAAATATCGAGGACGGCTGATGTGTAGCTGTGTCACGGGTCGTCAAAACATCGCTTGAAGACCCTTAGATCTTGTACAGTGATATAAATGATTATCGAACAATGCGACCATTCAATTTACGGAGAGGTATTTTCAAATGTCTACAAGGGTATCAATTTTACGAGTTCGTTTACTGTATAAGAGCGTACCAATCGATGTAATGAGGGTAGGATAATATATGAATTATGCGAAGAAAATCGGATCCCCAGTAACCTCTGAAATAAATTTCAGAGAAGTCGGTACTAACTGGTAAAATGGCAGCGAGAAAAATACGAGTCGACTTGCTACTTGACTCCTACGGATTAAGAGAATCCGAGTGGGGTACTGGTAAACACGGATTTTGTTTAGTACATTTCAGGAAGTTTTCAAATAAATTTACCCCCCCTTTTTTTTTTTCTTAGGCAAGGTATGGCACACAAAGAATACTATTCACTTGATTACTACATATTTTAGGATCTATTCATTGCAGGGTTCCCGGTCAATTTTGCTCCTCGCCAAAGCCAATGTATCGATTATAGGAGGACACATTGAAGAGTGGGAATGGTAGACCACGGAAAACTCAGCATCTGCATGCTGAGTATCCTCCTAAATCTAAATATGGAAATCTAAATAGATTACTTTCGCACTGATCGTCGATCAGTGATACAGGAGTCTAGACTTTGGGTATAATCACCACTGGATATTTTACTAATCTTGCGAGCCCACACGATTACTACGCTTCTTGCTCAAGTTTACGACAAATTTACGCAGCGGCACCAGCATAGACTCTCGACCAATCAGAGCTGCAAGAGCACACCAGATCACTACCAGCGTTCAGCTTTGTCACCCATGTCATGCCACATATGTATGATACCAAATAACCTTAGTATTGGTGCTAGAGGTAGCTCAACACTTCTTTCCATCGCTCACTTTTTAAAAAGCCAACTACTACTCACTCCAACAACAAACTTCCATCCAGCCTTGCGGGAAGATCTTTTTCTCAAGATGCCTACTATGGACAACAAGTTGTCGAAGCCTTCTCCCCCAGACCTTTCTAAACGACGCACCACATGGACGTTTATACGTGCCTTGATGTGGAAAAACTGGACTATCAAGAATCGCCAGCCTATTGCGACCACTTGTGAGATCCTGGTGCCGACTTTCTTCATTTTGCTGCTCGGTTTTCTCAAGCTACTCACGACTTCGGTCGACGTCCCGCCTGGTTGGAGTGATGATGCCGACAACACCGCACCTACGAGATACAACCTATTTCAGCCAACTGGCACGTCGATCAATTGGGTTGATGCCGACCTGCCCAAGTTCGCCCAACACGAGTCGACGCTGACAGGCCTTATTCTGAAGCTCGGCTTGCAATCCATTAACGATGGGATGAGGCTTGCCGAACTATCTTCAGCCGATCTCGTTGCTTGCAAGAACGGAGTCTTGATCGAAGGATATGTTGACGCGAATGTATCGTCCATTTTTCGTGTTCTGCCAGAATGTGCTGAAAAGGTGTCACCGTATAAGATTGCCATCGCCCCAGATAACACGTTCACGCGTAAATACTTCATGGAAACGATGGAACTATGGTATCCGCGCAAAACTCTAGGAAATTCGTCAGCTAGTTCGCTGACAATTCCATCGTTCAAGGAGAGCGTCCAATTTTTCGCGTCTGATGAAGCTCTTACCGACTACATCAAGAGTGATGAGTATGGAAAGGGCCTCGATAATCCACGCATCTACGCTGGCATTGTGTTCGAATCTATTCCGAGTGACGAGGATATCGGTTCCTTTGCTTCGATCGAGTATTCGCTGCGACTAAACTCGACAAGAGGCAGGATTGGAGAGGCTGTGGGTCGTGTTGCAAGTACCGGTGGGTCAGTGGAATATGTGTCTCCATTCCAGAAAGATATCGTTACGGACTACTACTCACGCTACGCAGTGACAGGCTTCATGACATTGCAGACGCTAGTTACACGTTTTGTTACCTGCATGCCTGAGTGGATTTCCTCAAACGAATCGGTTAGAAGTTCTTGTCAGAGCCCTCAAGCCACAGCTCTACCATCAATCGAATCTGATGATAACCTTCTTAACGCGTTGGGCAGCGATGGTTTGATCAAGGAGTTTATTCAAGCGTTGGGGATGGGGAACACGACTGCTGTGAATATCTTGAGCCAGACTTCAGTTGAAGCAAAAGAGCTGTTGCTCGTTCCCTTACGTCAAGCACCGCAGTCTGTACTTGGCTCTGTAATCGCACCGTTTCCCATCGACAGCTATACGAGTTCACCATTCTACGACCAAGTCTCGGAAGTGTTTTCGATCATGTTCATCATGGCGTATCTCTTCACGCTGTCCCGACTTTTAGTGGTTCTCATCGAAGAAAAGGAGCTGCGTCTTCGTGAATTTATGAAGATTCTAGGAGTCACGGAGAAAGTCATCACAATGACCTGGTATGCGACGTATGCGGTGATCTTGTTTATTGGAGCGGCGGTACAAGCTCTTGCTGGTCTCGCTGGACTATTCCCGAATAGTTCGGTACTAGTGACGTTCTTGTTCTTCTTCCTGTTTGGAATGAGTGTGCTAGCGATGGCATTTTTGCTGAGTACCTCTTCAGCAAGGCGCGTGTCGGTGTTTTCGTCGGTATGGTTGTGTTTTTCTTGATGTATGCTATCTCGCAAGGATTCTCCGATGAAACTTCGGAAGGCGTCAAGACTATCGGCTCTGTGCTATCTCCAGTCGCACTCTCGTTTGGTGTGACAGTCCTCGCAAGTGCTGAGGAGACTGGTGATGGCGTCCGATTCTCAAACATGAACACGCTAAGTAACAACTTCCGAATCAGCACGGCTCTCTGGATGTTCGCTCTTGACACCGTGTTGTACACAATTCTTGGGCTTTACTTTGAAAGAATCATTCCCAAGCAGTACGGCACGATGCTAAAGTGGTATTTCCCCGTGTCTCCATCGTATTGGCGGAAACGGAACCAGAAAAACGTGTTTGATCAGGCCCAAGATGCTCTGCTGGAAAATGTGAGTCTCGACGTGAACCCAAACTTTGAGCCAGTAAGCTCAGAACTTCGGGAGCAGGAGATCAGTGGTGACGCTTTGTGTGTGCAACGACTACGGAAAGTGTTTGACGTGCCAGGAGGAGAGAAAGTGGCAGTTAAGGGATTGAATCTGGTGATGTACAGGGATCAAATCACTTGTTTGCTGGGTCACAATGGAGCAGGCAAGACTACTTTGATCTCGATGCTAACTGGAATGACTGCACCATCAAGTGGAAATGCTAGCTTCCAGGGAATGACGCTAACCGATGACATGGATGACTTGCGCCAATCGCTCGGTCTATGCTTCCAGCATGACGCTCTGTTTCCGGAGCTCACAGTCCAAGAACATCTTCTCTTCTTTGGCCAAATCAAAGGTTATTCGTCCGACAAATTACCGGAGGTGGTGGAGAAGCAAATCCAGGAAGTGGGGCTGACGGAGAAGCGCCACGCAAAACCGAATGATTTGTCTGGAGGTATGAAGCGCAAGCTATCGGTTGCTATTTCACTACTTGGTGACAGTGCGTTGGTCTTTCTTGACGAACCGACATCCGGCATGGACCCGTATAGCCGCCGCAGTGTGTGGGATATCTTACAGAACAACCGTAATGGCCGACTGATGGTATTGACGACGCACTTCATGGACGAAGCTGACATTCTTGGAGATCGCATTGCTATCATGGCGGAGGGTGAACTACGCTGCAGCGGCTCATCCCTCTTTTTGAAAAACCGCTTTGAAGCTGGATACAATTTGACTGTGGTTAAGGATGATGAACGGTGTGATGACAAGGAGCTGGTGGCTTTCATTAGCTCCTACGTGCCTACTTCTCAGGTGCTGAGCAATGTCGGAAGCGAAATTGCGTTCCAACTCTCACTGGACAGCTCGACGTTGTTTGCGGAGATGTTTGCCGAGCTGGATCGACAGTCCAAACAACTTGGTGTTTTGTCGTATGGTGTCTCTGTGACGACGCTAGAAGAAGTTTTCATCAAGGTTGCTGAGCTTGACGATGAGAACCACCAGCACACTCTTCAAGACAGATTGTACACGAATACTTCTGAGTCTGGGGAGCATTATGAGGCTTGCGACGAGATTATTATGGGACGACCTACTTTCACTACTCATCTGCGTGCTCTGATTCTGAAGCGATTCAGATACGCCAAGCGAGACAAGAAGACGATTGTTTACGTTGCCGCCTTACCGATTCTATTGATTGCTGCAGGACTGGGGATTTTCAAGGCAAGTATGAAGCTGAACGATGACCCGTTCATGGCACTGACGACGGATGTTTACTACGGTAATTCTACGCCAACTCCATACTTTTGTATAAGCGGGTCAAGTGAGGAGTGGTGCGATCAAGTGATGACCACATTCTTCTCTGGGGCAGACACCCAGGAGCTGTCCATTGCTCAGCCAGCCTTCGACTCTGATTCTCCTACAGTGTTCGACGTGACGTACACGAATCCAAAGATCAACGCCACTGGTGCTACCGGATATGGACTCGCACTGGGGCAGAAGCTTTACAATCGAGGATACGGCTATGGAAGTGAACTTGTGGAGGGACAATTTGGCTCGTACCTGCTCTATGGTGACAGCACACAGAACCTGTTCGGGTACAATCTGTTTACAAACACGACGGGTGCCCACTCCTCGGCGGTTTTCAAGGCACTCATGGATGAGGCCACGTATCGATTCTTCGCTACGAATTCGACTGGAGCAGTTAACTCAACTGTGAGTCTGAAGGTGAATAGTCACCCGCTGCCATTCACCGCTGCCAGCGAGTCTCTCTTCAGTACGAGCAGCTCGTTTGTCGCTAGCCTATTCATCTGCATCGCCTTCACCTTTCTCCCAGCTTCGATCGTGGTGTTTCTGGTCAAAGAGAAGGAGTCGGCCCACAATGCAAAACACCAACAACTTGTGTCGGGCGTATCTCTTCCGGCGTTTTGGCTATCCAATTACATCTGGGACTTGCTCATGTACACAATTCCATGCGTGGCGACGCTTGTGCTTCTGAATGTCTTCAACATATCGGCGCTCACGGGCACCGATTGTTCCAGCTGCACGGGAGCGACTTTCCCTTCGGTGATTCTTCTGTTTGTGCTATTCGGGCTCGCAATTTGCCCGTTCTCGTATGCACTTTCGTTCCTGTTCAAGGAGCATGCATCGGCGCAGACGTACACAATTGTGCTCAACTTTGTCATCGGAATGGTGTTGATGATTACTTCATTCATTTTGGACCTGATCGACTCGACTGAAGGCGTGAATTCGGTGCTTAAATTCTTTTGGCGATTCTCTCCACTCTTCAGTCTCGGCAATGCGCTTCTCAACATGGTGAACAGCGAGTTCGACAGTATCCGTTCCAGCGATGACGGCGGAACAAGTCCATTCGACCCGGACATGATGGGGTTTGAGATGATATACCTCGTGTTTACGATTGTATTCTTCTTTGGGCTGACACTACATCTTGACTACGCTAAGGCGGTTAAGAAGACCGATAGCTTGGAGAGTAGCAATGAGAACTTCGATCCCGACTACGAAGTCGACGAGGACGTGAGGCAGGAAGCTCTTCGAGTGGCCAGTGGTGGAGCTGATCATGACGCGGTGAAACTCAAGGAGCTTCGAAAGGTTTACCCCGGAGGTAAAGTCGCCGTTCGTAACCTGTCATTCGGTTTAAAACGTGGTGAATGTTTCGGTTTCCTGGGCATCAATGGTGCTGGCAAGACGACGACGATGAAGATGCTGACAGGTGACGTGATCCCAACCCAAGGATCGGCTACGCTCGGTGGATTTGACATCCTGACTCAGCAGGCGGACGTTCGTCGACAGATCGGGTACTGCCCACAATTCGACGCTTTGTTCGATCTTCTCAGCGTAAGAGAACATTTAGAGCTGTTCGGCGCTATCAAGGGTGTCCCAATTTCACAACTCGACGCTGTTGTCCAAGACAAAATTCTTCAGTTGAACCTCAGTGACTTCGAACACAAATTGGCGGGCAGTCTTAGCGGTGGCAACAAGCGCAAATTGTCTGTCGCGATCGCAATGATCGGGAACCCGGCCATTATCTTCCTCGACGAGCCTTCGACTGGAATGGACCCAGTTTCTCGACGCTTTATGTGGGACGTGATCGCTGACATTTCAACGAGAGGCAAGGAATCCACAATTGTGCTCACGACACACAGCATGGAGGAATGTGAAGCGCTCTGCTCAACTGTCGGAATCATGGTGGGCGGTCGGCTGCGCTGTCTCGGAAGTGTTCAACACCTCAAGTCCCGATTCGGCGATGGACTTATGATTGACGTCAAGCTCGAAACACCAAGTACTTCCGAGCTCGACAGTTTGGTGGATCGCGTCTTCGGTCTTGACAACATGCACATCATACCGGCTGATATCGAGGAGAGATGCCGTGACTTTGGCAACGCTGACCTCGCCACACGCATCACATCCGATCATCCGACGGGCTTCAATCTGGCTGCAGCTATCGAGAGTGAGGGATTCGTTCGAGCGGAGGCGTTCATCTCTTGGTGTGTTGGTGAGACGCGTTTTGACACTCTGAAGAACTATCTGGTGGGATCATTTGACAGCGCCAACGTCGTAGTTCTGGAACGTCAGAATGACTTCTGTCGTCTCAAGATCACCGAATCCGGTGGCAAGGTGGAACTGTCGAGGATGTTTGCGCTGGTAGAGCAGGTCAAGAGCAAGATGCACATTCGGGAGTATAGTGTATCCCAGACGACACTGGAGCAGATTTTCAACAGTTTTGCCAGCCAACAAGAAGAGGAACTCGGTGTCGCTCGCGGCATGACTGCTTGAGAGAGAGGTTAGATTCATGGGTAAAAACCGGAATTCTGGTAATCGGATACCAACTTCATAACCAGCTTTACTCTTGTTGATTCCAACATTATATGTCGATATATTTTCCGCCCTCCGCGGACATGAACAAGAGATTCTTTATCCATGTTATCGTATTTCCTGTGTTTAGTGGCTTACGCGAAGATGCTCTGAAGTTTCAGTACTACCTAAACAACGATATTCTAAAAAGAAAAGGACCAGGATCAGATAATACTGAACGTGTTTAAAGACGGTCGCACCGATTCATAAATTAGCAAGGAGAACCATATCGCAAACAGACCAAACTATTCATCAACAACTGAAGATAGGTTACGAAGAAACGCTTTCCAGCTACTTTTTACTGTAGAAATTAAACTGAAGACAGTGTTCTATTATAGGATATGTAACTCAGTTCGATTTCAAACTATCGACTAAGGAACTCTCAATCTGACCCGGCAGAGAAGAGATCACACTCTCCCATGTATCCATGCCTACACTTAAGCTCATAGGCGACCGAATAGCACGAGCTTGCGGTAATCCACGGTCATCACGCGTAGCACTGAAGAAGCAGTCGAAAGTTGACATATCTCCGTCGACCGCAAACTGGGACATGCGTTGGCGAACGACGATAATTAAGGTTGCGCGTGTGTGAAATCCTGTCGTTTTCCCATCCCCAAGTTTTGGATCCAGGTAGATGCTGCAGACAAAGACTGTGCGGTCCTTCTCAACGTATTTTCGCGTCGCCATTCGTACACTTGCCCCAAGGAGGCGGCTCAGTTGGGGTGTCGACACGAAAAAGCTCTGGGTAACGGTATCGTCATTCTCGCCGACGTGGTGTTGAATGAACTGGAGTTGTCCTTCAATAACCTGGTTGACATCTATCTTCTGCGTACCAATTCTTCGGAGAGATGACGAAATAGCTTTCTCGGTCTGCTCGCGAGAAAATGGCACAACCTTCCTTTCTGCCAATTCCAGGAAGACACCATCGGTTAGATGGCGTCTGCCTATACGCTTTTTGCCAGGACACGGGAGGAACGGGATTCCTTTCTCGGCAAACACCGTCTCGAATGAACCATAGGCTTGATCGATGTTATTGATCAAGCTGCCAAACGATAGCGTTGCATGCGTCGGGATGAGTCGGCTGGGTGCGCGCTTGTGTCCAAACATGTCCTCCATCAGCTGCAAGGTGCCGTAAAATGCGTTAATACTCTAGTATCAGAAAAAAATGATAGCTACAAAACTCAGCAATACCTTAATTTTTGACCGGCGCTTCATAAGACGTCGCAAGCTCCTGGCTTCTTGAATCTGGTCGCATAGAATTCGTCGGAGCTGTTTGTTTTCTTCTTCTGCTTTGCGACGACGTTCTAGTTGTCGGAGAGCGATCTGTTGCCAGAGAGGTTTGCGTTTCGGGATGAGAAATCCGTCAGGGCCGGCTGAGAACTCCAGTGGGTTCCACTGGGCCCGCAGAGAGTTGAGTTGAGCTGTATGCGCCGCCACTTCCTCACGTAATGCGTCAATCTGGTGCTTCCAAGTTACTCGAGGGCGCTTCTTGGAACTTGACGAGGCTTCGGTGGTATCTTGCTCCGGTGTAAGCGTGCTTGCAATGACTTGTGGTAGGCTCTCGCTGTTAGAGTCCTCAGCGGCTTTCGAGACATCAGATAACGGACTTTCTAGTGCTTGAGCGAGATGGTCGAGAGCTCTCTCTCCAGGCGACGCATTCCACAAAGTGGCGCGGTCCATATCTGTTGCTGTGAACTGTTCCAAGAGGAGGCCGGGAAAGACAGAGCCCCAGTCTGGAGGGTTTGTTGCGTCGTCAGCGTCAACTTGAAGGCTTGGCAAGTCAGGCATGGCGTCGTAATCTGAGAGAAGTGGAAACGTCTGATCAATCGGGTCCATGCTGAGCTCAAAACGGGGAATGCCAACCTGTGGGACTTTAATTGTCACTCAGTTCACAGTGCCGTGATTACTACAAAGACCAAATTGACTCGAGGCGGAAACTCCAACCAATCAATGACCTCACACAAATTTCGATTACCGCATAGACTATTTATGCTTCGAGAATACCGTATGATGATAGCAGGACACGATGTGACAAGGGTCAGGTGATCAGCGTGATCACAAGACGTGATATTACTAGTAGACAGATTTATCGTAGCTATTGGTTTAGAAAAATCCAGTTGAGACCCTAAGAAACCGTAGGATTCCTGGATTCTCTTCTATACAAAACAAGAAAGAACTTTTAGAATTTCTTGCACATCAATTTTTCCAGGAATCGGTCCAATCTTAACAGCACGTTTTTGCGCTGTGAATAATATTTCCTTGCACGCAGTGGCTTGCAGTATTATGGTAAGTTGGACATACACGTAATCCATTGGTCGTTTATGTAAGTACGATGCTCTCCATTATTAATACTTATTTTTTGGTTTTTATTACTACTTTTTTGTCGATTTTCCATTATTAATATTTATTTTTGTCGAAGCCATTCACGTCCGTGTGTTGTGTTTCACACACAGTTTT